ACCCCACCAGTAGCCAACAAATAATTTTTTTTTAATTTTAGTATGGGTATAATTTCGTAAGCTTTTACAATAATGGTCTTATGCAATATTTGTCATTTTGTGACTGATTTCACTCAGCATAGTGTCCTCAAGGTTCATCCATGTTATGCAGTGGCTTGCAGCTTCCTTGTTATTCTTCAAGGTAGCATATTCCATTGTGTGTATATACCACAGTTTGTTTATCCATTCTTCCATTGACAGGCACTTAGGCTGTCTGCATCTTTTTGCTATTGTAAATAGTGCTGCTATGAACGTAGGTGTGTATATATCTACTAGTGTTATGGCTCGTATTTCTTGTGGCTATATACCAAGTAGAGGAATTGCTGGATCATATGGGATTTCTATTTTCAGTTTTCTGAGGAAGCGCCATATTGTTTTCCAGAGTGGTTGGACCATTTTGCATTCCCACCAACAATGTAGGAGGGTCCCAGTCTCTCCACATCCTCACCAGTATTTATTAACCTCTGCATTTTTGAACTTCGCTGTTATTGCTGGTGTGAGATGATATCTCATTGTTGTTTTAATGGCTAATAATCGTGAACATTTCTTCATATGTTTGTTGGCTGCCCAAATGTCTTCTTTCATGTCCTGTGTCCATTTTTTAATTGGGTTACTTGTCTTTTTCTTATAGAGGTGTCGTAGTTTCCTATGGATTTTAGAAATGAGTCCCTTGTCTGATCTGTCATTGCAAACGATTTTTCCCATTCTGTAGGCTCCCTTTTTATTCTTTTGGTGAAATCCTTTGATGCACATAAGTTTTGAATTTTTAGAATGTCCCAATCATCTAGTTTGTCTTTTTTTGTGTAATTTTTGCAATGTTTCATAGTCTGTGTGTGCCCAGGATTAGAGCCCTTAAATTTGTTCCTATTTTTTCATTGATAACCTTTATAATTCTAGTATTCACATTTAGGTCTTTAATCAATGCTGAGTTGGTTTTTGTATATGGCGTGAGGTAAAGGTCTTGTTTTAATCTTTTGCATCTTGATTTCCAGTTTTGCCAGCACCATCTCTTGAAGAGACTGTGTCTTCCCCACTCAATGTACTTTGGCCCTTTGTCAGAGATCTGTTGGCTGTATGTGGATGGGTTAATTTCTGGATTCTCAATTCTGTTCCATTGATCTATGTATCTTTCATTGTACCAATACCAGGCTGTTTTGACCACTGTAGCTGTGTAGTAAATTTTGAAATCAGGAAGTGAGAGGCCTCCAACTTTGTTCTTCTTCTTAAGCAGTGCTTTGCTTATCCTGGGTCTCTTTCCTTTCCATAAAAAATTTGTAATAGTTATTTTCATCTCTTGGAAGAATGTCAATAGAATCTGGATTGGGATTGCATTATGTGTGTAAATTGCTTTGGGCAGTATTGATAGTTTCACAATGTTAAGTATTCCTATCCAGGAGCATGGTATATTCTTCCATTTTTGTAAGTCTCTTTTAGTTTCTTGTAGTAGTGTTTTGTAGTGTTTTTTTCTTTTTTATAGGTCCTTTATTTCTCTGGTTACATTTATTCCTAAAAATTTCATCCTTTGGATGGCTATTTTAAATAGTATTACTTTTCTAATTTCCTTTTCAGTGTTGTCATTATTAGTGTAGAGGAATCCAACTGATTTTTTATGTTGATCTTTTACCCTGCCACTTTGCTGAGTCTTCCAATGAGTTCCAGTAGTTTTTTTGTTGAGTCTTTGGGGTTTTCTATGTATAGGATCATATCATCCGCAAATAGAGAGAGTTTTACTTCCTCTTTGCCAATTTGGATGCCTTTAATTTCCCTATCTTGCCTTATAGCTCTGGCTAAGTCTTCCAAACAATATTGAACAGGAGTGGTGATAGAAGGCATCCTTGTCTGGTACCTGTTCTCAAAGGGAAGGCTTTCAGTTTCTCTCCATTAAGAGTGATGTTAACTGTTGGTTTTGTATGTTGTTGTTGTTCCAACTCATAGTGACCCTGTACAGGGTTTCCGAGGCTGTAAATCTTTACGGAAGCAGAAAGCCTCAACTTTCTTCCACAGAACAGCTGGTAGTTTCGAACTGCTGACTTTGAGGTTAGCAGCCCGATTCTTAACCACTACGCTACCAGAGCTTCTTTTTGTATATATACTCTTAATTACGTTGAGGAATTTCCCTTCAATTCCTACTTTGTTGAGTGTGTTTTTGTCAGGAATGGATGTTGGATTTTGTCAAATACTTTTTCTGCATCTATTGATGTGATCATGTGGTTCTTTTCATTTTTCTTATTTATATGGTGGTTTACATTGATTATTTTTCTGATGTTGAACCATCCTTGCATGCCTGGTATGAGTCCCACTTGGTCATGATGCATTATTGTTTTAATGTGTTGTTGAATTCTGTTGGCTAGGATTTTGTTGAGAATCCCTTTTTTAAAGAAGATTGCATTTAGGGCCTTTGGGGATGACTCAGGAACCTGGTGGCACAGTGGTTAAAGAGCTCAGTTGTTAAAGATAAGTGGTTCAAATCCACCAGCCACTCTGCTGGGGCTTTAATCACAGGGCTTCTTAGAAGGGAATTTCTTTCAAGGGGGAAGAGGATGTTAAAGTCCAGGTTTGCCCCCGGAGCCAGGGCTGGAGTGAAGTGGGCACGGTCCACTATCAGGGGAGTTCCACAGTGGTCCCTATGCAGGGTGTATTTGGGGCTGGGCAGGAAGCCTGCAGAGGTAGACACTGAGGTAGACACCGAGAGTGGAGACCACATAGGCCTAGTGGCAGAACTGGGCCAGAACTGTCTGCGTTCCTACACTGCTCTGTGTTCTTTGCTTCAGCAGGTAATGGGGCAGGAGGCACTCAGACATGACATTAAGCACAGCAGGCCCTTAACCAATGACCTCAGCGACATGCTCTGAACAGGACCCTGGCTGGAGACAGTTTGTTAAGTGCCTTCAAGTTAGTCCCGACTCCCAGCAACCCTGTATAGGGTTTCCGAGGAGCCACCAATGGGCTTGAACCACTGACCTTGCAGTTAGCAGTCCAGTGCTTATCCTACAGTGCCACACCAGGACTCCCTAGAATTAAGTTGTTGTTAAGTGCCATCTTCATAGTGACCCTTATAACGTTTCTAAGGAGCTGGTGGGTTTAAACCACTGACCAGTTATCTGTCCATTCCTTATCTTACAGTGTCACACCCAGACTCCAGAACTAAGTTGTTGTTGTTGGGTGCCAATGAGTGGATTCTGACTCATAGAACCATATACACAACAGAATGAAACACTGCCCTGTCCTGTACCAACCTTACAATTATTGTTAAGCTTGAGTCCATTGCTGCTGCCACTGTGCCAATCCATCTCTTTGGGGCGGGGGGGAGTCACCCTCATTTTTGCTGACCCTCTACCAAAGCATGATGTCCTTTTGCAGGGATTAGTCCCTCCTGATAATATGTCTGAAATCTGAGAGATGAAATCTTGACATCCTAACTTCTAGGGAGCATTCTGGTTGTACTTCTTCCTACACTGATTTGTTTGTTCTTTTGGCAGACAATGGTACTTTTAATATTCCTCTTCAACACTATAACTCAAATGCATCAATTCTTCTAGAGTCTTCTTTATTCATTGTCCAACTTTCATATGCATATGAGGCTATTGAAAATACCATAGCTTGGGTCAGGGACACCTTAGTTCTCAAACTGACATCTTTGTTCTTGAACACTTTAAAGAGGTCTTGTGCAGCAGATTTGCCTAATGCAATATGTTGTTTGATTTCTTGACTGCTGCTTGCTTTCAGTAGGCATCTGGAAAAAGGTCTAGAACTCAGACTAGGAGGAAAGATGGAGTGCCATCAGAGTGCCAGAACGCATAAAGGAGAGTTGCGTCAGCCAAGGCCTGTGTTCAGGTCACAATCAGTATCACAAGGGTGTGATGTGTGGAGTGAAGAGGTGGAGGAAAGTGTGCCAGGAGGCAGAGATGCAGCTGAGCACTGCTGGGAGGAGCTGAGTCTAGTCTGGGAGCTTGTGCTGTGCATTACCTGCCTGATGGCTCCTGCAGCCCTGTGAGCAAAGTGGAAAGGCTGGGACTTTTCTTCATCCTCTGAGGAAGATGACACTTAACAACAACTTCATTCTAGGGAGTCCTAGTGTGGCACTGTAGGATAAGCCCTGGACTGCCTGCCCTTGGCCTTCTCTTTACCTCCCGTGTCCCAGGGTCGCAGTGCCAGGCTAGGGAAGGTTAAGACTAGGGCTTGGATGTCAGTCCTGGCCCTGTCTCTCACAGTGGCATGGCCTAATGATGAGAAACCAGACCCAGAGTTTCCCGTCTCTGGGTCTGGGTTCTCATCCTTGAAGAGTGAACACGCTTAGGAGACTGGAGAATCCATTGAGGTAACTGGGGGGCCGGGAACACAGTGAGATACCCACAAAAGACAGGCTGACCGTGGGCTGGAAAGATGAGGACTTGAGAAGCTGCTGGATTCCAAGGGAGTGGTCAGGTGGCTCGGTCCCCAGAACTGAATTTTCAAAGCCGGGAAAAGAGGGCGGGTGGACCCTTGACCGCTCTGAATTTCCGCCACTTCCCGCGCTCAGTGCCCGGGCGGGTGCACCCCTCCCGGCTTTCCAGGGGGCGAAACAGCTGGGTCACGCCGAGGGAAACTGAGGCCGCAGCGGTAGCGGTGGCGCGCACGGACGGTTCCTATTGTCTGCGGCCTCGCCCTCCGCCCCTCCCGCGCGCTCCCGTGCCCG